ATTTTTCCCGTTGTGTTTGGGTCCATGTGGGCTGTTTGTTTTTTTTTTTTTTTTTTTTTTTTTTGCTTCTGTTGCCTTCAGTTTATTTACTCCTGCTTTGCTTTCTGCAAATATTTTTTTTATTTTGCTAAAAACTGGGATGCTGAATCCATTATTTTGAGTCGAGCTGAGATCCACTGCATAGATTTAAAATAAATAAACAATTTTTGATGTTTGAGGGACAAACAATGAAGCCTGACGACTTCAATGCTTTAGAAGTTTTGTTTTTGATTGTATGATCTTCAAACTTTGGCTGAAGTTATAAAAACTGGTCAGCCCTTAACATAATATAGGCTTCCAGTATTGTCTATTATTGCACATATCTTTGTTTTGTCAGTTAGTGAGAAACCTTCAAAACCACAGACGGAGACGAAGGCAGATAGAATACAGAATGTTTGCTCATAAGTTAATAATAGTAGAGCTCGATGCAGCTGCTCGGTTTGCTTTCAACATGTCAAACCAGCAACAAGCAGAACACAAACCAACATGTTGCTCTGTGGTGTAGATAATTAAGAGACGGAGCTGGTTGTCTTACTTACATGCAGCCATTTCTTCAGCTCTGGAAAACCTCTCCTGTTGAGTTTGGGACCAAAATAAAATTCAGTAAAATTGTTCAAAACGAAGAAGAATGTCTCAACTAATTTAGCCAAAAGGCTAAACTCCTATCACACCCTTTATTCAAAATACAACATTCAGACGATGCCTCCCTAATGCAGCTTATGACTTTTATTAACTGGCTGCATGTAGTATTTATGGGTTTGTCAGTTTGGTATTAGCATCTTAAATTAATTCAGAACAGGGGAAAACAAATTGAGAATCAAGCAATTATTTAGGGGAAAATGTGTAAGGATAAACATATCAAACTTTTCCAGATATCAGTTAGCATCTTAAAAAAACAAACTTGCGATGGTTTTGTTTTTACTGTCGGCTCATCAGCAGCTCTCTGTGCTTTGCTCTTGTTGTTCTGCGGTTTGCAGTGAAACATTTCAGACCGTGCCGACCTGTAGTTTATCTTCACCTAATTTGAAGGATTCCTATTGTTAAGACCACTTCAAACTGTGATAACTTTGAGAAACATTCTCAATCAGGCTTATTTAATAGTTAATCAGAAGCTTTATCCACCACCTTTGTTATGAAGCTGCAGCTCAGATAGTCAATCAATTACACTTTATGCTCACACAGCAGGGAAGGAAGAAAACATTCATAATTACTTCTAGAATAAAAACATTAATGCTGGCTCATTAATACAGTCAACATCATTGATTATATCTAGTCGGGGTAACAATTTTTGACTAGTGTGAAACTAAAGTGACATTTACAGTTTCGCACAAATCCACTCGACAAAACCTGCTGCAGAAGAAACACAGGGGAGCTTAGTGTAACAAACTCTTTCCTAATGTACTTTGAGACTGACATTAATAACGGACTACAGTAAATCCTGCTGCATGTTAATCGTTTCCTTTACTGTCCGAATTTCAAATGATCCTTGGAACAAAATCTGGCAACTGATGTATATGTGAAAAATGAAAAATCGTCATGTAGACGCATGTAATATAACGGTTTCACATTAGAGGTTGCGCTAAATGTTTTATTCCTCCCAGCAGCCAGTGTCGCGTTACTCACATCTTGGCAGTTTGGCAGGGATATTTCAGCTTGAGCAGTTTTTGTGAACTTTAGGCTGACAGGTGCTTCATTCTTGATTAAATAAATGTTTTTTCCACCACAGGGTCTTCATTTATGTCCGGATGGAGCTGAAAGCTCTCATTCTGCAGTGGTTATCTGCTGTCCTTACATGCCTTGGTAGAATATTTTTGATTTGCTTGGGGTTATAAATCAGCCTCCTGTTTTCGTGACTCAGCTGCTTGTTAAGTGTTAAGATCTTTCAGCTTTTAAGCCGACCGACCGACCGACTGCATCTTCACAAAACCTTTTTATGCTTGCAGTAAAAGACACTTGGGGCACCAAAGTAAGGCAGATTTTTAGTTCTTAAGAAAAGGATCATAGCAGTCTGCCTCTGTTCAGCAGCTAATTAACCAATAAAGGCTATTGATTAGCCGTGCACCTGTAGAGCAGGTTGGGCAAGGATAATGTTCAGCCATTGTTCTCTGCAAAGACTGATTATGCTGCCTGACTTTTACTGCCCAGTCTCTTTATTTTGCAGATTTATCTCCGTTCAGCTGCATTCAGACCTTGTTTATCCTTTTTTGTTCGGCTTCGAACGATTTCTTACCCTCCTTCCTCTTCTCTCTGCCTGCCCAGTGGCCCTGTACGCCATCAGTGCCGTGTACTTTGCCGGAGTGATGGTGAGGCTCATGCTGACCTTGACGCCGGTGGTGTGCATGCTGTCTGCTGTGGCGTTCTCCAGCGTCTTTGAGCATTACATGGGAGACGACACCAAGAGGGAGAAGCCGCCTGCTGAAGATAGCAGCGACGAGGACGACAAGAGGAACTCTGGGAACCTTTACGACAAGGCGAGTCTCGCTGGAAAAACCCAGAGCTTTATTTAATTCAAAAGTGAAGGGAAACTCGTTTTATATAAACTAATTGCACACAGAGTGAAATATTATCAGTGTTTGTGTTATCTTTGATGGTCATGTGTAAGAGAAAGTTAACACTTGAATCTGAAAATGACACAAATGGTGAAGCCAGCTTACTGGCCAGACAGGTTCATGGTCATTAAGGCCAGTGTTGGTGCTTTTGGCAGTGTGGGTAGGTGTCAAGTCCAGCTGGACCAAGGAATCGGCTTCTCCTTAAAGCTTGTTAGCCTCTGTGTGTCAATAACTGTCTGCTGGATTGTCATGTCAACAGTATTCCCCATAACTGTGTAGAGCATTACAAACAAATAATTTTGTGTATGTGTACTGTAGTCCGCATAGCTGTCCGTGTACGTACTTGTCAGTAGGTCAACATTTCCGTGTTGATCTTTACAGTCCTGGATGAGACCAATTAAAAGAAGAAAAAAAGATAATTAAAAACATAAACTGTCTTTGTGTAGTAGATCTATATTAAACCTAAATGTGTTGCGTTTTAAGCAGAAATGAACTGACTGGATGCACCTGTATGGTGTTTAGGTGTTAATGAACTGCTGAGGTCTCACCACAGCCTTTGCAGTTTGAACGTATTGACCACGTCTCTCTGCTTCCCTCCTCGCTCCCCAACTGTTTGAGTAAACTGTGATTCAGCAGTGACTCAGCTGCTGCAGTTTCACGTCGTTGACATCCTCTTAACCGGCTCACTTCATTGAATTTAGAAGCGCGTTCTGAAATCATTTCACAACAGTAATTAAAAAAAATAAGATGTGGATAGGTTCTTCCCACCCTGCGACCCCAGCAGCGCTTTCCTGGAGGTGTTTATGTTTAAGGAACGAGTCTCGTAAACCAAATGAACGCCTGTAAAAACAAAATACATATACAGCATGCACATGCAGTTATTGATTTAAGAGCATTAAATGCAATGAATGAAACTGAACATTATAATTTAAGTATTGTTTATACTGACGACTTAATTCAGAGAGATCGTAAACACTTTTATGAGCAGATCGTTCAGCATCACCACCGTGTCGTCCTGCAGAAAGCTTGTTTGTTAAAGGATTCTGTCCTCTGAAGTAGTCCTGTTTACATTCGGTTAGTTAGGCCCTTAATTAAGTTTTATTTATTCAGGCGGTTTAATTAAGGTAATGGGTCTGTTCCACAAGAGCAACCTGTGAAGAAAGTGCAAGCTCTTCTCATCAAATCAGAAAGCCAAACATTTATCACGCACAGCAGCTCGAGATCTCATTACAAATGCCAGTAAACTGCCACAGTTCAGATAATATTGTGATTAGCTAAATGCTAATCACAATATTATATCCAAGCACATTGCTAGAAAAATGGATCCGGTTTTTAGGATTGAATCAAAATCAATCCATTATGACATTCATATTGTCAATCTCGCCTACAGCCTTACATAGTCTGATTCAAAGACGATTACAAAACCAGTCATGTGCATGCATGTGGTGACAGTGGAAAGGAACATCCGTCTTTTAGCAAGAAGAAACTTTCTTCACTACCATGTTCAGAGTGAGTGGTGATCTATAGAAGTGATGCACTAAATGATGTATGAAGATCGGGTCAGGAAAGCTTTGTTTGGGACGAAAAACAAAGGAGATGCACGAGTAAATTGTAGCAGTAGTTTCACCAAGGACTCCAGGAGGAATGGCTAAACACAGAAGCAGTGAATCAAGAGGAATTTCAGTAGGAAAGAAAAACAAAAAGCTCTGATGCATAGAGTACTTTCTATGAAAATGGAAAAACAATGTATTATTTCATCAAGGAGACATAGCTAAGAACAGGAGCACTGAGTAGGAAGTCTTTCCCATAGGATAGTAGTACAGAGTAAACAAAGTTAATGACACCAATAACCCTTAGTGAATTCACCCAGCAGAACACAGAAGCTCTGGGACAGGATCACCTTCTGCCAGAAAGAAATAAAGACAATTCTAAGTGCTTAATTACAGAGAAGCTGGACAACACCTCTTTGACGAGATCTCGGATCTGATCTAAAACGCTCCTTCGTGTCTAGACTTTGGTTTCTAAGTGTCAGACTTGTAACCTTTCCAAGCTGCACAGCAGGTGTGAGAAAGATGACAGCCACATCCTGTGCTTAGAGTTGGACTTTGTTTCACTTCTCTTGTACTTTGAAAGTATCCGAGCAGGAGTGTATATTCCGGGGGGGATTTTAAAGCGAACCCCGCTGTCCAGCACTGGTTCAAGCCAAGGGTAAAGCAACCAAACCAGCTCAGATCTGATAAATATCAAGTCCAGTTCAGCGAGAAACTAAGCAGCAGCTACACAAAACGCTGACCCACCACTGAAGATCCGGCTTATATGGTCATGACTTTGCAGTTCATCTACTTCTGCAGGACAATGACACTCTTTAGAAAACGACAACATGCACATTTTTGACAGGGAAGGTGGTTCCAGCGTGGAGGGAAAGAAGCTTTTTATGTTAACCGTGAAAAAGCAAGACTAAGCAGAGGAAGTGGCCTCGGGTTTCGTCTTTCTAACACCTACACTGCTGCCTTAAATCAGCTTAACAGCCTTTCACACCCGAGACGTGATCAAAGCATTTCTCATGGCGTCATGTTTGGGTTAAGTGAAAACAACTCAAACTTTGAACTGAATGGATGGTAGGACCGGTGACTCTGGTGACCGTAAAGACCTTATTAATGCTATTAACGGACCAGTTAGCATAATCGAAGAAGCTTTATGGATGAGTTTTGAAACATCTGCAATGAGTGAGAAAAATCTACACTTACATAGTCGATGCCAACAGAAAAGAGAGACTAAAACAAAGCAACACTTGAGTCAAGAGTACGATCTATGAGAAATAAAATGCCTCCAGTGAACAGCAGCAGTGTCTTTCCTTTCGTCCAGGAAGAGACACGACTTAACATGAAATCATAATGTTTTTTTTGTGGAAAAAGAAGGAGTTAGAGTAATAGTTTTTATATCTCTGTCCAAGAAAGAGACCCAGCCAAACAAGGAAGCAGTGGGATTAGAGCACTTTCTGTAGGAACAAAACGGAGGGGATAAACGGTGCTAATGCCAGCAGAAGCTCCATCAGAGGCTGTAAAATAAGAGACACAAAAGAACTGAGCCAGGGATCTTTATCTTTGGAAGAAAGAACACAGAACTCTGAGTAAATTCCAGCAGAAATGGCAAATATTGCATCGTCGGAGAGTAGCAAGAAAAAGATAAATTGATAAAAAATGTTCAAGTCTTCCAGCTCTTGAAGCCTTAAGCAGCGTAACTATTTAGATTGTGCAAGATGTCTTAGTTTTAAGCTTATTCTTCCTCACAAAAGCTGCGGGCTGGTTTCACAAAAACCACAGTCGGTTTATTTTACACTTTGCTTTGTGTTTTATGCGTGTAGGAAACGCAGCAACAGCAGTACATGTTTTAGTTTTCAGTTTAACGTCTCATCACCTGGAAATATCTGATTTTGTGTCATCATTTACGTTTTTCTTTCCTGATTTTAAACTCTGCCGTTTTCATCTCAGAGGACGGAGCCGTGCTTATTAACAGTTGGCAGTCTTCCTCTGCAGCTGAGCCGTGATTTTCAGCTGTAAAATAATATTAACTCATCACAGCGTTTCACGCAGCAGCTCTCTGACGCGTCTTCACACAGCGCAAAAAAAAAAAAAGAGTTGTGGACACTCCAAAAGACTTTGCTCATTTAGACGGATTAATAATGCATGCCGTTAAATAATTTATACCTCTGGAAGCTTTTGGATTTTTCCGTCTGTGATAAAAGCGCATGTCTCCCCCTGCAGGCGGGCAAGGTGCGCAAGCACGTGTCGGAGCAGGAGAAGGCAGAGGAGGGTCTGGGCCCCAACATCAAGTCCATCGTCACCATGCTCATGCTGATGCTGCTCATGATGTTCGCCGTCCACTGCACCTGGGTGACCAGCAACGCCTACTCCAGTCCCAGCGTGGTGCTGGCGTCATACAACCATGACGGGTGAGAGCCGCGCGTCACTCTGTTGGTGGAGATCCCGTAACTGCCGGCAGCTGTGATGGTCCATAATGCAGGAAGACCGATTTGAACGGTCTTGCTGGCAAATTAGCACATATGCATGTAAGCAGGACTGCACAGAGCTTCGGGTTCATGCACATGTATATTTCATGAGCTGTATGGAAATATTGACGTGTCCCTGGAAGATCTGATATATTGTTTAACATGGTTTCTGTAGGTTAACGTAAACACCGGTGGACCTTCTCTGAATTTGTAAAAAGCTCATATATTATTCTCTCTGCCATGCTTCACAGGCCTAATTATTCTTTTAAAGCCCTTAGGAAGAAATATTGAAGGCTAAATGGTGGACCCACAAGTTCTCATGCATAAATTTATAACGTTACTGTAGGAGCACAGACAATTGTTTAATCATGCTATTCTTGGCTACATGCCTGTCAGATTTGCTTCTTCGTTTTGGATGTACGCACACACACACACACACACACGCACACGCACACACACACACACGCACACGAATACACACGCACAGATTTAATGGAATAAATAAACCATGTGGTTAATTGACTTTTCTTCATGAGGTAAATTTAATAACCAACAGCTTCTTAATTTCTTATGAAGAGTTGTTTTTATAAGATGTTGCTATTCTGATTCAACACCTTAACTTAATATAGCCGTTATTTATGCAAATAAGTCTCATTAAGATGGAAAACTCTTTGTCAAGAAGCACCTGGTTCTAAAACATGAATATCTCCTGCAGGCAAAATTGGCCTTGCTACAGGATTCATGCTGCTTGAGCTTTTCCACATTATAAAAACAAACTTTAATGTCTTTATTGGGATTTTAGGTTACAGACATAAAGAGGAGCATCATTATGGGGAATTAAAACGATACAATGTTTTTGAAACGTGTTTTAAGCTAAGCTTTTCCCATTAGAGGCCAAGACCAGAGCAGAGGTTTGCCTTCCAACAGGACCACAACCCTAAGCTCTCATGGAGTAGTTTAAATAAAAGTCTACTCAGGTTCAAGCGGCCTAGTCAAAGTCCAGATCCAGTTGAACATTTTGGGCAAGACTTAAAAATTGACATCCATAGATACTTTCAATCACATCTGTCTGTACTTGGTCTATTTTACAAAATTACCTAAGACTATGATGAGTAAGAAGACAGTGTCTGGGCCAAGCAAAGTAATAAAGAAGGGGGAGGGGTGATTGTGATATATATAAGTTTTTTTAAGTTGGGATTTTCCTGGCCTGCGTCTGAATCTCCACTGACACAGCGTTGTTTGTAAATCTCCAGGAGATTTTTCAGCAGGAAGCTAAATGAAATGCAGTCTCAGCAGAGGGTAGTTCATACTGTAGTCACTGTAAGTGACGAGGCAGCTGGAGCATCATATCAAGTGGCGATACACAGTTAAAGAAGGTAAACCTCGCATCATCAGTGAAACATGTATGAGTGGAAGATCAAGTGTAGCAACAGCAAAACGGACACAGAAATAACAGCGATAATGTAGTTTGGTGCCGTTGTCAATGTGTCCTCACACTATGAAAACTCCTAAGTTAGAGAGTTGAATACAAATTCATGTTACAAGCCCTGCTTCATTTATGTGCTACTTTGTGTAAGCTAATCGCATTCAGTTAGTGATTGTAACGCGAGAAAATTTGAAAACCTCAGGAGACGTCGGCGCTTTTCTGCAGAGTCGTCCTTCCTGCCGGTGTGCTCACTTGTTTTCTTTCTTCCCATTAGGACTCGTAATATCCTGGACGACTTCCGAGAGGCTTATTATTGGCTGAGGCAGAACACGGATGAGCACGCGCGCGTGATGTCGTGGTGGGACTACGGATACCAGATAGCCGGCATGGCCAACAGAACCACGCTGGTTGATAACAACACATGGAACAACAGTCACATAGCTCTGGTAAAGCCTCCCTGTTTCCGTCTGATGTTGCTCTTCTACCCAGAGAAACGAAAGCATTCCTCTTCCTGCGACTCAGTCGTTTGCAGCTCTTTAGCGAGTTTTTATGTAATTGCCACATTATGCATCATCACTTGTTTAAACTTGTTTTGCCGCATTTTCACTGAGGGAAATAAGTCAATTCTTGTCAGATTTTTTTTTTCCCCACCTTTGATTTATTTTTCTTTCTTTAAACTGCAGAATGCAGACAAATGTTTTCATCTCTTAGTTAAATCGTAAAGCCCTCCAGCTCCGCTCCGTCTTGTTTTTCTACCTGCTGCCTCTCGTCTCTGCAGCGTCTATCCACAGGAAATGTAATTACAGAGAATACATGATTGTATTTCTGTTCAATAATTCTCCTTTCTGCCCCTGCAGTATTGAAGCCTGGCGTCTTTTCAAAACAGGAAACGCCAATTAAAGTCTAACTCCAGCTGTCAATGTTTTCAGGTGGGGAAGGCCATGTCGTCCAACGAGAGCGCTGCCTACGAGATTATGAGGTCGCTGGATGTGGATTACGTGCTGATCATCTTCGGAGGAGTAATCGGCTACTCCGGCGACGACATAAACAAGTTCCTGTGGATGGTGAGGATCGCTGAAGGGGAGCACCCCAAAGACATCAGGGTGAGTGATGGATGGCGGTAACTGTCTGCGAACGAGAACGCAGCAGCGCGAGAGATTGACGTTTCATGTTGGAAATGGCCAGAAGAAAGAGAGAACATGCATCTCTGATGACTGAGATGAATGAAGACGCGTTATTGGACTTAAAGGAAGCTGGGTTCTTTTTTTTTTTTTTTGCCTGATTTGATTCAAAGTAACAAACTGACAGAAGAGTAAACATCTTTACCAGTGAGCTGAACATCTTTCAGTTCAGCAGTTCTGCCTTCATGAACATTATAGCCGTCAGTTTGGTTTGAAGCTGCCCAACTCTATTTGGGTTGTTAGCAGACAAGTTCTGACTAAAACAGTGGATTCTTGCCGTTTTAGGGATTTTTCTGAACAACTTGACTCTTAATTATGTGTGGGAAAATTTGCAGATTTGCTGATTTTCTTCTTTTATCCTAAAGCATATCTAAAATATTCAAAAGAAAGTGCAGCTTGGGAAGCTGAAATGCGTCGACGTAATGCTACCTGACACAATATTGGCTGGGTTTGCAAAGCAGCCAATCCAGGAGCGACGTTTATTTTCTTCTGTGGTGATTGGCTGTAATCCCCAAGAGCTGAGATGAGCAGGACTGCAGACATTAGCTTTTGCCAGTGTGCGTATTGATGCATATGAAGGTATTTTCAATGTCTGAACCACAATAAGTGTTATAAGTATAGCAGCTGTTCTCAATATCTTCTGTGGATACTTTGCGTCCTGTAGATTCATAATCCAGTATTCTATTCAGTGTTGATAAAATGCAGCTTGAACCAATATTTAGGTTTGGACTTTTCACAGAAATACTCTTTGCTCTCCTGCTGGATTTCAGGATTTAGCCAAAATGGACCCTCAGTTTAGCTTCTTGTATAAAGTAAAGAAATGTTTATTTTTACATGACATTTTTGTACGTTCCTGTTTTCAATCATTAAATGTATTAAAACTAAAACTCACTATAATGCATGATCAAAACCATTAATCACTTAGAGAAGACATTTAGGTTTTCTTCTGATGCATTTCTCTTGTGTTGATCTTTTACATGCATGCTAAAATTTTACTTGAACTAAAGAAAATTAATGAGAAATAATTTAATAAATATTTTCATATGATCTGTGAAACATTTCCACATTCTTTTGATCATTCAACAAACATAAAAAAAATGGACTTTTTAGTTCTTTATAAATAAAGCTGAATTCATTTCTGGCTCTCGGATGCCTTTCAGGTCTGGAAGTTGAAACTATATGTGAATAACGTGCTCAGTTACGGGTTTGTATTCTGATTTTTAACGCTTCCTGTTGTTTTTCAGGAGAGCGACTACTTCACTCCGCAGGGGGAGTTCAGAGTGGACAAGGCCGGTTCGCCGACTCTGCTCAACTGCCTCATGTACAAGATGTCGTACTATCGATTTGGTGAGATGCAGGTGAGGGACCGACGTCAACAAAAAGTCATTTCAGCAGATCGTTTCTTCACCTGCTGGGGGACAGGTTAAGACTCGGGAACAGTTCCCCTCCCGGGAGATTTATTTTTATTGGCGTTATGATCCACTTCACGGCTACAAATAATGAGCTCTGGTTCTGTGGCGCAATCAAAAACTAACAAGCAGCCGCCATCACCAATCAAAGGGAAAAGGCCGCACTCTATTTTAGAGTACACAGTTTCGGCAGGAAATAACAGGCGTCTGCCAGCACTAAAGGTGAAGGATTCCTGCCACAGGAGTTTCAAAGCAGAGCCGGCTGACAGAAAAGGGATTTTAAAGGAATTGCTTTAGGGGGCATGTGGTGTTGGAGGCTGTCAGACAAAATGTGAGGGATTGGAGGAAGCTTTTTAAAAATCTGTCACCGCTTTCCATGGCAGATTTCAGGTGGAGAGATGGGATATCCGCCGTGCCAGGTGCGTGCATCCCTGCTGTAGACGCAGCTCAGCCTACAAGTTGGGCTGAATCGATGCAGGAGAGAGAGAGAGAGAGAGAGAGAGACACGGGTGAAGCTCAGAGCAACTCAGAATGTTGTCAGGATAGACAAAACGCCGAGGTCAAGATGGAGGGAGAGACTCTGAGGAGCAGATTAGAGTTTTCACACCGCAGAGAAGAAAGAAAACTAAGAGAAACATGGCGTATTCTAAACATTACTTTACTGATGCTAATAAACTGAGCCAGTCACTTCAAGTGGACTTCAAGTAGGAATTATTTAGAACTTCCTTTTTTTAGGTAACTCTCAGACTGACTGCATCAGATCACCACACACACACAAATAAAACCCATGCACATAATTAAGTGTGATTTTTATCACTAAACTGCACACACTAATTGTATGTAAGCATATTTACACATTTCTTTGTATTGATAGTCATTGAACATTAAAACTAACAATCCCAACAAAATGTGCAGTTATTGAAACTTTTAAACATCATTATTTAGAATTTATTGTGACGACGATAAACAATACAACAAATGCCCAGCCGTACAATCACATTTATTAACACCTATGGTAAAAATGTGCAAAAGAAGGCTCAAATGAAATTCTTTCATTGCAGCAACATTTTTTTTTTTTTTATTTCTCTCACTGAAAAATGATTCAGCTCCTCTAAGCCTGAGGCTTTGGTTCTTGACCAGAAGAAGTTGGACTGCTTCCTCTTGGTTGGGGGTCAGCCTCTGCCTCAAGTGGAGGAATTAAAGTATGTGTGTGATTTTTTTTTTTTTTAGTGATGGTAGGATGGAGCGAGGATGAGGAGGAGAGACGGATTGGAGCTTCGTCTGCAGTGATGCAGGCGCTGCTCCAGTCTGTTGAGGCAAAGCCAAAAAGCAGAGCTCTTGATTTACCGGTCCGTCTACAGCTGTAGTCGAGCGATACGGATCATAAAAAATTTCCTAAGAAATCCATCTAAACAAATGTAATACCTTATAAAAAAAGATTGAAACATTTCTTTATTGATGCTAGGAATGAGGAATATGGAAATCAAGAAGTTTATTTATTTAAAAAGTAGAAATTACCTCAACCTTTTGACTATAAACCTGCCACTGTTCACTGCATGAGCCTAACAACAACAAACTTCTACTTAATGAGCTACTTCTATGCAGCAGCTAAAACATTACGGCTCCCTAACTACACAATCAACATTCAATCATATTTTAAAAGATAAGCGCAGGTTTTACTGATATTCTCACGGCTACAAACAATAAAAGAAAAAAAATAGTTGAGACATTAAATGACAAAAAACCCCAGCTATACAGTTTATGGAGTTGTGGGAATTTGCAGTTCGAAACAAATAACGGTTGATGACAAACTTCACAATGCAATGCGACAACAAATTGAGTTACTGCGAAAGAAAACAAACTGCGGCACCTTTACCCTCAGCTGCTTGAGTGTGATTGAAAATGGCAACATAAAGAAATAATTGCAACAATAAAAATAGTGCCCTGTATTATTTTTATGTTTAGAAAGTGTAAATCCCCCCCCCAAAAAAAAAAAAAAAAATAACAGAAATAAAATGGGGACACGATGGGGAGTTTCTCAAACACT